GAGGGAGGGAGAGGGAGATGAATGGATGGAGGGGGGACGGATGGAGGGAGGGAGCGGGATGGAGGGAGGGAGCAGGATGGAAGGGGGGGAGAGGGGATGGAAGGAGTGGGAGAGGGGATGGAAGGAGTGGGAGGGGGATAGAGGAGGGATGGGGATGCAAGAGGGATGGGGATGAAGGGAGGGAGTGGGAAGAGAGAAGGGGATGGAGGGACGGAGGAGGGGGATGGAAGGACGGGGGGGGGGGGATGGAGGGACGCGGGATGGAGGGAAGGAGCAACAAAAAAAAATAACGGTTGAGAATTGGTCAAACTATCTATATCAGAGAGCAGGAGCGGGAACGTTTAATTGAAGTACAGTTTTAAAGGGAAGAGGCGAATCCAGTGAATACAAATCATAGAATTAAAACCAAAACGAACTCAAACCATCCAAATTTTAATTCCTGGTAGATCGCTAAGACCATTTAAAGGAATGCAGCTCACCTTCAGGGTTTTCTCTCCGCTTGCACGCTGTCAGTTTCAATCGACCCATAGTTTGTTGAAAGAAATAAATTGGGAAAAAAAAAGTTAGCAACACTCACAATTCTCATCTCAACTACACTACCCCTCCCAAAAATAAAACAAGATCACCCTGGGAAAAGTATGAACAGACCCCACGTGTGTGCAGCCGTGAGTTGAGTTTCGGTTTGCCTACCATGTTTTGAGTGAAGTTTGCCCATTTTTCAGCAGTTGCTAATAGTCTCTGCTTCGCGTCCACGCCGAGACAAGCATTTGGAGCTTTATTGTGTTGCTTCCTTTGCCCGGGGAGTGAAGGTGGTGCTGGTGTAGGGAGAGAAGTGTAACAATCCCACAGTAACGGAGAGAAAAGCTCTCTCCTGTCTGTCTGTCCTCTCTGCTGAGGACCTTCTTCACGGAGTTTCCAGGAGAGCTGTCACAGAGAGACTGAAGCAGCGTTCGCTCTCCCTTCTCACCAACACCACATTAAAAAAAACCTGCAGCCTGCCCTCAGCGGCACTTAAAAGTGGGAGGCAAGACTTCCCTTTGAATTCCGAGTTCCAACCACTTCAACTCTCGTAGACACGATCAGTCGAGTGCTGATTTCTGTGCAACTGCTCCAATGTGTTCAAAGCACCACATGTTCGACGGTATCTTCCAAAAAACATCTTCTGATGATTTTTCTAAAGACTATGAAAGTAAAGCAGTCAATTCCCACTTTGGCAGTTCTTTTCTATATTTATATGTGTATTTGATGGCTGTAATGCTATGACCACAGCTTTGTAGTTACATTAAATTCGTAAAATACCAGAGATTGTGTAAAGGTCAGTTTTTTTTCCAAAGAGTCATGGAGTTTTAAAGCAAGAGAGACCCTCCGACCCATCGTCTCTGTGCTAGTCATCAAGCACCTATCTATTCTAATCCCATTCTCCAGCAATCGGTTTGTAGCATGGTGTGCTATGGCGCTGCAAGAGTTCATCTACATAATTCTTATATATTGCGAGGGTTGCTTTCTCTAATATTCTTTAAGACAATCGGTTCCCCAATCTCTGGGATTGTTTTCCCTTTAAATCCATTCTAAAACTTTTGCCCTAAAGCTTAAATCTGTGCTATTGACCCTCTGTGACGTGGAGGTGCCCGTGTTGGACTGGGGTGGACAAAAGTCAGAAGTCACACGACGCCAGGTTATAGTCCAGGTTTATTTGAAATCACACAAGCTCTCCCAGTGCAGCCCCTTTGTCAGGTGCAGTGACATTGTAGCTGATGAGTTGAGAATCACCATATACGTGGCTAGGAGTCAGTGGTGGTAGTGGCTGGATTTGATGCTGTATGGAAAGAGTTTTACTAACTCTTTACAGTTTAATTACTTGGTGATCTACTGCACAAACAGTATTGGGGCCAAATGTCTTTAAGGGGAACCAGAATTCATAGCTTTCTCTTTGGTATGCCAGGAACACAATGGCTTGAGTCTTGCTTTGATATTATGATCGCAGTTGGCAATACTGAACAAATCAGCTCCCAGAATGAAAACTCCATGACAGATCATGTTTAAGTTTATAGTTGGATATGATGGTGGTTAGTCTCTGAAGCACATTTACAAGAGGCTGCAGGTTTTATTCAACACCAGAACACAAATTTATTACACAAATGATTTAAATAAACAAAACTATATGTATCAGACATTTGGAAAGATCTTAACACAAACAGCCAAATAAAGCTTCAATCTATTTCCCACCACAGTCCTATTACACATACTAAATTACAGAGAAATTTCACTCCTATCTCATGCTTTTTAAACTTTTAGTTAACTGACTTTCCCAGGTCTTTTCCCTGGCCTGAGGAGACAGTTTTATGATTCCTTTCCAAGTCGGTTGGCACGAACCTTTCATAATTCCAATTTTCAAAACCTTTATACTTCCAACAATTTAAAGATACCTATCCAAGCTCTTTCAGCATAGATGCTTCACAAACTAAAAGCATTGGTTGTGGTCCTTCTGTACTGGGCAGTTACTCAGCTCCAGTCAGAACTGAAGAACATACAAACTCACATTTGCTGCAACCCAACATGGTGGTTTTATTCTAAAGCTATGCATTCTGTAGGAGCCCAAAACAAGCTGAACAAGCCTGCAACCTCACCAGTGCTCACATGACTCACCTCTTAAAAGGACACTGTGCCAACATAACATACACCAACTATAACACATAACAATGGTGAACTGTTCCCAAAAACTAAAAGTTTGACTCTTCCAGTAGCTTTCCCTTCTGAACTGAACTCCTGATACATCTGAACTGAGACGAGTTCCAAAGTTTAAATTAAACTAATAGTTTTCTGGTTGGTTATAAACTTAGCATTATAAACATTATATCTATTAAAACTGTACCAATCTGTTAGGCACTTGACTGCAGTCAAATTTTGTCTTATAATTCATGTATTTAGATCGCTGTTCCAAATGACTTTCTGATCTGCTTTTAAAAATTAACTTCAAAGAACTGCCTCAATCCATCTGCTTCTATTTTAAAATCCAAACCCTAAAATAAATATATCTATTGTATTACACACCCTTAACAATATAAAAAAAGGAAGGGAGAGAGGATCATCAATGACAAATGTACTTTATTGGAGACAAAGTCAACAAATTATAATATATTTTGCAAAGAAATGGGAGTAAACAGGGCAGTGCAGAAAATTTGAGAATTATGTAAACTTCAGCTGTTACTAGAGTTATTTGAGTAAGTAAAGCGATAAATGGAAACCCGTAGATTTGATGTTCTTAGATTTTCAAAAGGCATTTGATACGGTGCAACATAAAATGTTACTACAAAAATAAGAGCTTAAGATGTAGGGTTTACCGCATTAGCATGGATAAAGAACAAAGAACAAGGAACAGGCCCTTTGGCCCTCCAAACCTGCACCGACACATTTTGCCCTTCCACATTAAAACTGTCTTCATTTACAGGATCTGTATCCCTCTATTCCCTTCCTGTTCATGTATTTGTCCAGGTGATTCTTGAATGCTGCTATTGTGTCTGTTTCCACCACCTCCTCTGGCAGCATGTTCCAGGCACTCACCACCCTTTGTGTGAAAGATTTACCTTGCACATCTTTTTTAAACTTTCCACCCCTCCACCCGCCGACCACACCTTGAACCTGTGTCCCTTAATAATTGACCCCTCCACCCTGGGAAAAAGCTCATACTTTTCACTCACGAATCATAAGTGCCGAACAAGTATTAACAATTAACTGTTGCAGCTCGATTCATTTGTATGAAAGAGATGAATGGAAACAACTAATAGAAAGATGCTTATAAATACATAATCATGGTGATAACTCTCTCCCTAACAATATCTGTGGAGTTTATGTTCTGTATCCAGGTCTTTTGCTACAGACATATTGATACATTGGACTCCGTTGCCTCAGGTGGGGCCATGATCAAGATTGTAAAAGTTTTTTTTGTGTGGTATTTATTGGATGCGTTCATGTAAATTTTGTAAAGAGCTCTGACCTGTTATGGATGAAATAAGCCACCATTTAAATTTGTGAATATTTCTAATCAACCTGATCGTACATATTGTTCCATGTCTAGGGCAGGTGGGACTTGAAGTCAGACCCACTGTCCAGAAGTAGGGTCACTACCACCGCTTCACTAGATCCACTATAATTATTCCCAGTCAACCTGTTCCACCATGTTATAACACATCTCTGGGACTGTTGGGATTTGAACCCAGACCATTGGGCCTAGAGGTAGGGGCATTACCACTCCATGTAAGATCCTGTTCCCATTGAGATTTACAAAAAACAGCTGTCAATCTCTACTAGTTAGTGTTAGTTGAATAAAATGTTAGTTAATCCTCAGCATTTTTATTATTAATTCACTTACAGGCTGTGGGCATCATGAGCTGGGCAAGCGTTTACTGTCCATCCCTAGTTGCCCTTGAGAAGGTGGTGGTGAGCTGCCTACTTGAACTGCTGCAGTCCCTTTGGTATTAATACACACAGAACGCTGTTAGTGGGGGAATTCCAGAATTTTGACCCATTGACAGTGAAGGAATGGCAATATATTTCCAAGTTAGGATGGTGAGTGGTCTGGAGGGGTATTTGCATTTGGTGGTGTCCCTCCATATCTGCTGCCCCTGTTCTTCTAGATGGTAGCGGTCACAGACTTGTTAGGTGCTTTATAAGGAGCCTTGGTGAATTTCTGCAATGTTTATTGAAGACAATGCGCATTACTGCTACTGAGAGTCAGTGATGGAGGGGCTGAATATTTGTGGATGTGGTGCCAATCAAGCAGACTGCTTTATCCTGGATAGTGACAAGTTTCTTGAGTGTTGTTGGAGCTGCACTGACCCAGTCAAGTCGGGAGTATTCCATTCGTAGTCATGACTTGTGCCTTGTAAATGATGGACAGTCTTTGAGGAGGTGAGTTATTCTCTATAAGATTCCTAGCCTCTGATTTGCTGTTTTGGCTATGGTACTCATGACGAATCCAGTTCAGTTTCTGGTCAAAAGTAACCCCCCAGGATGTTGATAGTTTGGGATTCAGTGATGGTGATACAATTGAATATCAAGGGATGATGGTTAGATTCTCTCTTGTTAGAGATGATCATTGCCTGGCACTTGTGTGGCACAAATGTCACTCACCAAGGTCTTGCTGCATTTGGACATGGATGTCTTCAGTATGTGAAGAATTACAAATTGTACTGAGCATTGTGCAGTTATCAAACATTCCACTCCTGACCTTATGATGGAGGGAAGGTCATTGATGAAGCAGCTGAAAATGGCTGAGCCTAGGACACTGTGCTGAGGAACTCCTGCAGAAATGTCCTAGAGCTGAAATGACTGACCTCCAAGAACCATAACCAACTTCCTTTGTACCGTGTATGACTCCAACTAGTAGAATGATTTCCCCTGATTCCTCTTGACTCTAGTTTAGTTAGGGTTCCTTTAAACCATGCTGGGTCAAGTGTGGCTTTGATGTTAAGAGGAGTCATTCAATCCTCATATCTCAAATTCAGCTCTCTTGTCCATGTTTGAACTAAGGCTATAATGAGGTCAGGATGTGAGTGACTGTGGTGGAACATAAATGAGCAGGTTATTGCTAAATGGTTTGAGCTTGATAGTACTGTTGATGACACCTTCTATCACTTTGCTGACGATTGAGAGTAGACTGATAGATCAGCCAAGTAGGATTTGTCATACATTTTGTGTACAGCACATACCTGGGCAATTTTCAACGTTGTTAGGGAGATGCCCATTTTGTAGCTTGTTATCGATGAATCAAACCCCCTCAAGATATAGTGAGAAGATAGTCTAAACCCTATCACTTGCTGCTTGTACCATTTAGCATGCAGGATACGCTGGGCCATGAGGTTGCAAATTGTGTTGGAGTACAATTTGGCTGCTAATGGCCCACAATATCTCATGGATGCCCAGTCTGGAGATGCTAGGTCTCTTCGAAGTATTTCCCATTTAGCATTGTGATAGTGCTATCGTATAAAATATTCTCAATATGAAGACGGGACTTCATCTCCACAA